TAGCGCCTGATAGGTAGGCAACATCTCGCCAGCCGTGCATGCGTGTAGTGCGGGTTGGCCTAGCCTGAGTCTCGCAGGCGCCGACCACCCGTTATCAACAAAATTCATGCTATTGTGTACAATTGTCAGCTGTGCAGTGATTGATGAGCAATTATTCGCACGCCAGGCAGCGAAAACTCCCATCTCACTGTTGTAGTCGTAGGTAGTAGGGTAAATGAATACACACAGGTTCCTCCGGAGTAGTGAGGACGCTTCATTGTTTGTTTGTAGGATATATTTATTATAGCAGTGGATGTTAAGTGGGGGGGGGGGGTTGAACTGCCAATAGGCTGTTCTGTATTCACAGGTGGCAGGCAGCGCCTTGCCAACTAGAACACTCACCCCTTTCTATCCCCCTTTTCCCGCCTCCTGCGTCCGTCTCTACCAACCACTTCCATTAGCTTTGTTTGTACTTTTGGCTGACTTTTATTTAAAATACAAAACTGCTCAATATGGCTACTGTAACTGCCAAGTACCGCATTAAAATGTAAGTGAACTATTTTGTTTCCGCTGTTTTCTGAATTTGAGATAGCAACCGAGGTTACAACCTAGGTTAAATGTCTCAGGTCAAACCAAATGTTTTCAGCCTGTTATTAGACTCTAAACTTTCTGTGGCTTTTCTATTTGTTTATTTTTTATTTTTGATGTGGCCCATTTTTATTTTATTTCTACTATGAAATTAGATTTTCCCCCCTGGTGTTCTGCCAATTCTGTATTTTCTGTCACTGTATTATTTGGTTTTCTCGTTTCAGGGACCTGAAAGCTATCATGAAATCCCCACCCTATGGGATATTTGGGGTTCCTGATGAGAATGACTTCCAGAAGTTCCATGCTATCATCACAGGGCCGGATGAAACCCCATACGAAAAGGGTTTCTTTTATTTTATTCTGACCTTTCCGGATGATTACCCTCTTACCCCACCTGCAGTGCAGTTTATGACGACTGGGGGAGGGACTGTTAGAATGAACCCGAACCTGTACGCCTGTGGCAAAGTATGCCTCAGCCTTTTGGGGTGAGACGTTCAGTTTAATCTAGTGGGATAACACTTGTTTACTGTTCGTTCAGTACTAACTTATCTGTTGTAGGACTTGGCATGGTCCTTCCTGGAGCCCTGCTCATACCCTCACGTCTGTTCTGATAAGCATCCAGACCTTACTCAACAAGGAACCATACTGCAATGAGCCTGGACATGAAACTGTGTGTACTGTCTTTGTTGATTTAAATGTGTTGTCATGATGCGAATAATTGGACAGTGCTTCTTTTGTAACTGTTTTGCAGGAAAAATTTCCTGGTGCTATAAATCAGTACAACGAAGTGATCATGCATGAAACCCTGCGTGTAGCAGTGGTGGGCATGGTCAGGAATGATACAGCACTAACTATTCCAATTGCTCTAGAGCTCCACATGCAGCAACAGTTCATAAGAAATATTGAATTTTATTTGTGCCGAGCGACCCAGAAGTCTGCGCTTTCAGGCAACCCTATCAAGGTAAAAGCAATTGTTCTCTCAATCTGTCAACCTAAGAAAATGGTGTTAGAGTGAAGTTTCGAATGTCGTCCTTTTTCAGGACCCACTTTATTGGCTGAGCGATTAGCGAAGCCTATTACTCCGTCTAGTCGGAAAAAACTTTTTCTGTCTGTCTGTCTGTCTGTGTGTCTGTGTGTGTGTCTGTCTGTCCGCACGATAACTCGAGAACGAATTGAGTGAGCGACCTGGGATTTTCTAGGTCGTTTTGTACCATGAAAAGACAGGTCGAGTTCGAAGATGAGCATTCTAGCTCAAAAATTGGATTTTTAAAAAATCGAAAACAACAGGTCCCAAAAATGACGTTTTTTAAAAATATTTTTTCATGGTTCCCTAAGGGGTAACTCATCAAAGTAGAGCCCTGTGTCCGTTTTGCTCTAGCTCAAACCGTTGAGGCGCTAGAGGGTGTTTTTGAGGGTGTCTTTGTGCACACTTTTGTTGGCTGAGCGATTAGCGAAGCCCATTACTCCACTGACCGGAAAAGTTTCATTCTGTTTGTCTGTTTGT